ATGTCTAAGCGAGAGTGTCAATCTCGAACTGAACGATTAATTGCCCGGTTTTGCTAAGAACTTGAATAAATTATCCCCGATTCCCTAGCTTCTCCGTCTTTGTTTTGTTTATATTTTTAGGTAGATTATTGTTTTTGTATTATTTCTTAGCTGGTAATTATTCAACCTCTTATCTGATTAGAGTGTGTAGAATTTATTTTCTTTTTATATGTGATCGATACCAAAGCTGAATTCCGAACCGTCTTCCTCGTGAGATCGACCCGGGGAACGAATCTTTCGATTCGGTACTCAGTAAAAATAACAATTTGTGCTACAACAATAAGATCGCAATTGAATAGCTTTATAGTAAGGCATAAATTTGGGCCTCTGAAATCGATCTTCTAAATATAACCCTAGGTCAATTGAAGGTAACTTTAGGTCGTAAATTTTTCTCGAATGATAGGTCGAAAAATATGCACGTTTTATATATTTAATAGTGTATTCTTATACACTTAATTTATTCGCACGTTTATATTTTTCGACTTATTTATTATTTGGATGGATTCATATACATTGATATTTTTATATTTATTTTCAGCTTATTGGAGTATTTTGTGGATCCGGAGCATTGAACGAGTGTTTGCAAGAGATTGGGCCCCAATAGCATATTATTTATGGCCCAAAATACGTTCTTATAGGAAGTTTATAAAATAAATCCCAATTAAGAAACATGACCACGCAGCCACTTTGAATAATACAATTGAGAGGAAATTGATTTATTTGTGGATAGAGAGAACTTGAATTTATGGGCCAGAGAAGGAAATAAAAGTGCCAGTCATTAATTAGTTAACTTGGAGTAGGACTCATTGGGCTGGAGGATTTATTTGGGGAGCAGATTATTGACGGGATTAAATTGCCGAAGGAGAGGAACTTATTATTCACGTAACTCACAGAAGAAGAGAGCGTAAGGAATTATTTACCGTGAGCACATAAAGGAAACAGCGGACAGACGCACATACGCAAGGAGAGAACGGAGAGAAGGCTACACACGCGGAGGGAAGCCGCATCTGCACATGAGGGAGATCTTTATTTTCTCTTTTATCTTTTATTTATTTATATTAGTATGTTAGATTAGTTGTTTTTTATCCAGTTTGAGGGGATGTTTGAACCCTAACTTTGATTTGTCTATGGATTGAAGGATTTATTTTTATCGTTGATTAATCGAGACGCTGTATTTATTTTTGTTGATGAGTTGATTCATGCTATCTGTGTTGAATGTTTAAGAATTATGGTGTTTGATTTAATTTGGCCAGCTAAGTTGAATATTCATTGTTTAACTGCTAGATTCGAGACTTTAATCCGTAATTGTTATTGTTCTCGTTTCGTTAGTAGTAAACTAGGGGTCGTGCATCTCTAGGGTAGCGTGAACATAAGTTAAATGGACCGAGCTTTTGCATCTATTGGTTAGACTAATCTATTTTCCTGAGAATTAATGCTGCTAGTGCACTAAATCTAGAGAGCTTATTCTAGGTTGTCTGCTAGTAATGTTTAGTCAAAGAGCTTGTTTCGATTAAATATTCGGTAACGGAAAATTCAGTTAACAGAGTTTGTTGTTAACTGGGTTAGTAATTCATTAGCAATTTAAAGAAGGCGTCGAAATTAATTAACTGTAGATTAGATTGGGTGATAACTGAACTGAAAACTGGAATTCTCTCATTTTATTTGATTTTTATTTTATTTTGTAGTTTTTATTTTTCGTTTATAAAACCAATTCCCCCATTTTTATTGCTTTCGTAGTTTAATTGAATTAATACGAGAACTGTCACAATTTAATTTATGTTCCTCGTGAGGTCGACCCTTACTCACCACTGCTACTAGTTAGTAGAGGTTAGTCGAAGAAAAATATATAAATTTAAATTTGTCGCGTCGCGACGTGCGGTCATCGAACATCATACTTCTATATAAAGTCACTCCAGTTGCTAGCTATTCACTTAACCTAAGTCATGACGAGCTGTTATATGATGCCACATCAACATAATCATCAAATTCAAGCTCCATGTTAAATTGTATATATTTATTGAATAATCTATCATTATATTAAAAGATTAACCATTTAACATTTTTAGCAAGTTTTTCCCGCCAAATACATTTAATGTCTCCTAAAAATAGATTAGCATTAAATGTTGTCCTTAAATCATGGCAGTTGTTAATTTAGTTTGGAGAAAATCGTGGCAACTAAAACAAACAACATTAATTACGGTTGATTTAATATTTAAATGGTAAACAAATATTACTTTTTTATGACTGATTTAAATTTACGTCTGTTTAAAAGTAAAAAACTACTTTTGTAATTTCAACAAATTTGTACTCTTTAATGTACGGCTGATTTAAAATTAAGAATTTACTTTTGTATTTTCACAAAAAATCTTATAAAGAAGTATGGCTGGAATAATAATAAAAAATTAATTTGTTAAACCATATTTTGCACTCATAGATACGAATTCTCATCAAATTCAAGATTTAAAATTGTGAAGAATGTATATAGATGTGGACTGATTGAAAATATATGATTCCTAAAATTAAGGAATTTTTTCCGGTAAAAAAAATATGAACTTTAAATATAGATTTTATTAGTAGTGTATACCAAAGAATATTGTTACATTTAAAATTCCTATGAAGAAGAATTCTATTAATTTTCAAATTCAACATCTCATAAAAATAATATAATACACTTTTACATTCTATGAAACAATATTTAAAACTCACCGTTCAACATGCATAAAATGTAAAATTACCTAACATGAGTCATTTTAACTTTCTAAAATCAGTACACAATTTGCTCGATATGTACTAATAGTCTAATAATTAAGAGTTAATATTTGCTATGACATCTATTGGTTGTAAAGAATTTCATTTTGTATGGAATTCGAAATAAAAAAACATATTATGAAAATCAAATATGATTTAGAGATCGATTTCTTAATGGCTTTAAATTATGTAAATATATTGTTTCAGTTTTTAGGATTCATTTTTATGATCTCAGTCTTTGCATTATATGAAATCTATACTTATATAAAAAGTCATCCTATTTATTAGAAATAGTAGGCAGAAAAGTCAAAGGTAATTAATGCTTGCTGGAAATAGAATGATATTAATTACAAATTTGTTTTGGTATTTATAGGCTTGACATTAAAGATTTGTTATGGGATAAAAATCAGAATCGATTTTTTTACCTTTGCTGGAAAAGTCAAAAGTAAGTATAGATTTGTTTTATCCCATAGCATCGGTTTAGTTAAGAAAATCCCATCAAATCAGTTTTATATGTCAAGCCTATGAATAAAGATTTAATCAGTCAAAATTAAATTCTTATTTTACGTCACCCATAAATAAAGTAGATGTCAAGCCTAAATTGAAGGGTTTAGTTGTCTATATAGTCATTGATTTACGTAAATACATCTAATGTTTAAAGTTTGTGTAGATTAAAAATTCTTTCTTATCTTTTTACAAAAAATCGTATTATTATTGTATGGAAAATCAAACTCATAATGTTGTGTACAAGGAGGTCTTTAATAATATATATTGTTTGTTTGTCGAATACTATCTTATTGTACAATTTTTCTGCGTATTATTAAACTTTTATTGAATATTGCACCTTATAATATAGTATTCCTTAACTAAATATATCCCGTGCCTCGCACGGGTCACGTACTATATATATCCCGTACATTTTTCTGTATACATGTATATAATTATAAGTCTGGATAAATAGCCTTAAAATTGTGCACCCCGTGCATCGCACGGGCTCTGTACTAGTTATAGTTTATCAGTATTCAAAATAGATTAGATATTTGTGTAGACGAGACTTTATCATTCTTCATGTGGTTCTAGTTGGTATTCTTTGTGTGTGTTTGTTTTCGTTTTCTTCTTTTCCCCTTCTTTTGATTAGGCTGAAGTTGGGTTTTGGGTTTAGTCCAGCATAAACAATTGTGGACCTTGGCACAAGTGGGCTTGTGTAACAATATTTCAATCAGCCCATCTTTAGCTAACTCAATTACTCAATAATATGAATAAATTGGAATAAAATCCGACTCGACTCACAATTTGAGCTGCTGCTGGTTATCTCTACCCCAAAATTCAGTTACTCATCACGGCTTCATATATTGTTAATTAATTTGCAATTTTAGCTTCAGAGTTAGGATGAATATTAAATATTGAAATACTGTAAAGTAAAACTAAAATTCTCCATGTTCAGTCTTTATCTTTACTCTAGAGAATAGTTTACTCTACTCTAAAATAGAGTGAAACAAAAATTAAATTTTGTCTCCTGTCCTTCGCTCTACATTTTACTCTAAATCAAATATATATTTTTTTATTCATTTTTATTTCAAATAAATTAATATATATTATATTTAATCTTATATAAATTTGTGTGTGTTGTAATATTTTGATTTTAATATTATTTTTTTGTTTGTGCGTTCCTTGATTTACGTGTATTATAAACTTTTGATTTTAATCAAATTTACTTGTTTCATTGTGTTTCAATTATCTATTGTAGAGCAAGAAACTTTCAGGACTGGAGTGGCTTTTTGTGCCACTTTAGCGCGCAACACTGGAAAGGCTCTAAGTGTATAGAATGGTAAACGAGTTAACTCAACTTCGTTGAATGATTATTAACAAGTTGAGTTCGAGCTTTCACGAGACGAACTATAGAAAACTACATAATTTTTTTATTTGTAAACCTTAACTAAACGAAGCAATAGAATACTATTTTGAAATAACAATTTTCTGAGCAGTAACTAAACGAATTTGAGTTCGACTCGATTATGAAATTTAACGAGTTAGACTCGAGTCGAACCAGTCGAGTTGAAGCTAACAACATGGACATTGTGGCTTACTGGCTTTGTATGCTCCATATAGTTCATGAAGATATTTCTTTCCCACAGCTCGTATTATAGCCATTCATAGTTCAGTTCATAACTTCATTGGGTTGTTGTAGATTATATCCAAGCGTAGAAGAAAANATCTATTAGCTCGATTTCGAACGGTTCCTAGATCGTCGTCAACAAACCATAAAACACCCAGCAGTATGTGTGAAAAGCCGGAGTCCGGCGCTGGAGACAATCGGGTTGATGCTAGCCAGCCGGATACGGGTCATAGCCCCGATTCACCCTCTATTGTCGCACGTTTGAGGTATTCTGAATTTTTTTTGGGCTTTTGAAAAAAAAAAAAAAGTATTATTTTGGGACTCATTGTTGTGGGTTTTGCTTTAAATTTGTATTTTATTGTGTTTTGTGACGAGGGTTTGTGAATTTGGAACTTTTTGCAGGGAGAGATTTAAGTTGGATGGGCTCGGAATGGAGATTTTTTCTATTGCGCTGCCAGCAACTCTGGCACTCGCTGCCGATCCCATTATGTCGCTTGTTGATACAGGATTTGTGGGTCATTTAGGTAATTCTCATTCGGTGATTTGGAATTTGTCCGAGAACTTTAGATGATGCTGGTGAGGAGTTTTCGCAAGTTAATGTTCAGCTTCGTATGGATTTACGATTGATTTTTGAATAGTGTAGAGTTGATGTTCACCTTGAAAGCTGAGGTTTAGCACAAGAGTTTGTTAGTTTATGGAAAATGTTAGCTGTGTTTTAGTTTTTTATGATTATATATTGTTCCTAACATGGCTTTTGCTTTTTTACCTCCATATAAGGAATCCTTTTTGTTTGTGACGGCTGTCAGCTCATTACAGTCATGTTCTTTTAGGGTCTGCTGAACTGGCTGCTGTTGGTGTATCTGGAGCTGTTTTCAACCTCGTTTCGAAGTTATTCAATGTACCTCTGCTCAATGTTACTACATCATTTGTTGCTGAAGAGCAGGCATCTCTAATGAAGGATGCTAATGTATACGGCCAAGTTGTCAAAGGTAGTCATGTAATAGAGTAATAGACAGAATCTGTATTGGCTTAAAAAAAACTTTCCGTCAGTATAGCTTTGCTGTTTTTTTTGAATTCTTAAATATGATTGCTTGTGTTTTGTGTTTTCACTTGCAGAGCAGGAAAGTAAGACATTTCTTCCTTCAGTATCAAATGCAATAATCCTTGCTGCAGCTCTTGGCATCATAGAAGCAATTACACTCGCCCAAGGATCCGGTTTCTTAATGAATACGATGGGTATACCTGTTGTATGTCTTGCTTAGCTAATCATTGGACTTTGTTGTGACATATTTTTTTTGTAGTCGCTACTGATCTCTTGACTCTGGTTCAGTCAAATGTAAATTTGTCACATTTGTTGCATAATCCTTGAAGAATGGCATTTAGTATATCAGTTTTGCTATGGAGCCATCCACACTTATTCACCAATAGTGTATTGACACGTGTCCTGCAATAAATACACTTTGGACATGTGTCAATATATTAAGTGGTGGATGGCTCCATAGAATTTTTGTTTAGCATATTTGGACAAAAAGTTAAAATGAAAGTATAAGTGAAGTTCTGACTTGAGCTGTTGCATAAGTGTGTGTGATGCTCTTGCCTTTCAAAGAACATTGATCCAAGTGAATATATGCTCTTAGTCAGACATATACCCTATAAATAACATTGATCCAAGTGAATATCTTGTTACAGGCTACAGATTCCTTTTTTTTTTTTTTCTTGTTTTTTTTTCCCCGCCTATGAGTCTTGATTTCTTTACAATGATGGATAACAAGTGGAATGCACTACAAGAAGACTATTGACTTTTTTCTGCCTTTAAATCAGCTGTTGATTAGGCCTTTTTTCATTTCTCCATTCAGTCTTTGATGATAATGTCTCGTTTTAATTTAAAACTAATGTGAACTGATTTTTGGCCTAATACAGGATTCACCAATGCGCTTGCCAGCTGAACAATTTCTTACCCTGAGGGCCTTTGGGGCCCTACCAATCGTGGTGTCACTTGCTGCTCAAGGAACATTTCGTGGGTTCAAGGATACGAAGACACCTTTATATGCTGTTGGCAAGTATCACAAATTCATACTTCTCTCTTGAGTAAAAAACAATTAATAGTTGTGCACCCGAACAACCTTTTAGAACAATAACACACCCTAGGAACAATCTGAGAAAGCCATGTTCATCTTCTTTTTGGTAATATCCGTCCCAAAATTAATTTGCCTAATACTAGTCCCTGCTAAAGGATTTGTAGTATGTACAATTTCATTTTTTTTTTCTTTTTTCAAAAATAAAAGATATAAATATCCCCTGAACCAAAAATGTAAAAGCTTTCACTAGAATTTAGTTGATGAATTCTATAACATCTATTTCTATCTTTAGTATGTAAAAGCTTTCGCTACAATGTCGTTAGTTTAAAATATTAAACTGGATGGGTTGTGTAATATCGTTTTGTCTCTATTTGAGTTGTTGTCAACGAATATGTTTTCTGTTTTGTCAAGGAGCTGGCAATGTACTAAATGCAGTACTTGATCCGATATTAATTTTTACATTTGGTCTCGGGATTAGTGGTGCTGCCATTGCTACTGTCATTTCTGAGTACGTCGAGTGATGTGGTATAACTATGATAACTAACACATTGATTGCATCACACATTATACATAATGAACCCTGTTTTCGTTTAGCTTTATTTGAAATTTCCATGTATATATTTTTCATTAGGTACTTGACTGCTCTTATTCTTTTATGGAAGTTGAGTGAGGAAGTGCAGCTTATTGCTCCAAGTATTAGTGGACCGAGAGTTGTTCAGTATCTTAAATCTGGTATATTTCCCATGGTAACTGTAGAATTTTCAAACGACTTGTTTGATATATTAATATTTCGTAAAATACTAGTTGTACCTGCATGAGCTGAAATTTGTAATTTTTTTTTTTTAACAACGTTTATCAGGGGCCCTTCTAACAGGGAGAACTCTAGCAGTCCTTATAACGACAACAATTGCTACATCAATGGCAGCAAGAGAGGGTCCCATTCAAATGGCCGGATATCAGATTTGCTTCGAAGTATGGCTGGCTTTGTCTTTGCTAAATGATGCCTTGGCACTTGCTGGTCAGGTAACACATGTAATATATATATATATATATTCTGTAAAATGATGTTCTTTAGGAAATAGCAGAGACCCCACTTGAGGCTTGTCCAAATTACCCATAGGTTCTCACAGCACATATTCAATAAAATATTTATTTGAAAGATTTTAAATGAGGAGACTTCCTCTTAGTTTGGTTATTGGTTTTTATTCTACTTTGCCCTAATTTGGCAGTGCTAAATGTTTCTCGTGTCTCAACTGATTGTTTTTTTATCATATTTATCATATTCTTGCTCACATGACATTCTTTTGACAGACTCTGCTGGCAAGTGACTACTCTCAGGGCAACTATAGCCTGGCACGTCAAGTGACCTACAAAGTGCTACAGGTTTGGAGATCTTATTTCCAATAACCTCTTTGTATTTTCCCAAAATGTCAAGTTATCAAGTATAAATGATGTACCTGTCGATCAATTTAGGTTGTGTTTGGTAAGCATATAAGTGTATTCAAATAAACTCGAGCTTATCTCATAAGCTTTTCTTGAGTAGCTTTTCAAATAAGCTGATTGAAGTTTTTATTTCAGCTAGCTTATTAGCTAATTTTCCCACACTTTTATATCATATAAGCTAGTTTTTCAGCTATAAGTCGTAAGCTATCAGCTATAAGCTCGAATTCCACTTAAAAGCTATAAGCTAGCTTATAAGCTAGGTTTACCAAACATAGCCTAGAATGACTGACTTACGACTTGTCATGCGTGCATGAATAAATCAGATTGGCTTAATACTGGGAGCAGCTCTAGGGGTAATTTTGTTCCTTGGATTTGGTGCATGGTGCAGCTTATTTAGCACAGATTCAGAAGTTCTTCGAATAGCACAATCTGGAACCTTGGTAAGTAATGTATGATGTATCAACTATATTTGTAGTAATTTCTTCTCGAGTAAAGCACAAATCGAGTTCCAAATATAAATGCCTGCACCAGAATATTGGTCCTTAAGCATACATTTGTTCACTGTGGACTGACTTTGAAAATAATACTGTGCATCAAAAAAGTTCTATCAAAACTCATGTAACCTTTACCAAAGTATTTGAAAATGATTCAAATTAATGTCTGAGATCTGATGGCCTTTTTTTTCCTCCTCTACGTTGTAGTTTGTTGCCGGGTCTCAGCCAATGAATGCTATAGCTTTTGTTCTAGATGGGCTGTACTATGGAGTTTCAGACTTTGGATTTGCTGCTTATTCAATGGTAATTTTATATTGTGTTTATTTTCTTATTCTTTCTCCAGATAGCTTCATCAATTATTATTTTTTTTATGAGAGATTAGATTGATTAATTCATTTGGTCATTTGTTAATTAGGTGCTCGTTGGACTAATCTCATCAGCCTTCTTACTGGTGACTGCTCCTTCTTTTGGTCTTGCTGGTGTATGGTGTGGTCTCTTTCTCTTTATGACCTTGAGAGTATTAGCTGGAGTCTCAAGGTAAATTATAATCTGAATAAATTTTGCTTATTTTGAGTATTTAAGGGTAAGAATGGGTTTTCTTACAAGATGGTTTTTCTTCAATAATGTTCTTGAGATTTAATCTCTTCATATACTGTACTGTATACACTTGTTGCTATTGCCGG